AGTATGGAGCCGGGGGAGAGGGTCATTGACTACATGAATCGAGCAAAGGGGTACAATGACGACCTCAAGGCGATGGGGGCAGCTGAAACTGAAGGAGAAATGATGGGGTACATCATTACTGGGCTGCCCAAGGAGTGGGAAGCAGAGATAGGGCTCCTAACCTGCAACCCACCCGCGAATATGACCAAGCTGTTGGAGACGCTCCAAGCCCTAGAGCGGGTGAAAGCTGATCGACTCAGGAAGGAGATTAGCTTGAGCAGAATGGGACCAGTCACTCATGCTATGGTAAACGCAGCAGTGACAGGGAAAGGATACAGAGGTTTCGGGGTGTGTTTTCAGTGTGGGAAGAAGGGTCATAAGCAGATAGACTGCTATGACAACCCGAGGAGCAGAAATTTCAAGGGAAATTGGAGCGGTCCGCAGCAAAGGGGCCTGCAAAATGGAGGGCAGCAGAGAGAGGGGGAGGTTCGAGGCGATAACAAGATGCAGGGAGGCGGATTTTCAGGGGCATGTCACTATTGCCAAAAAATTGGGCATAGGGCAGCCAACTGCTACTCGAACCCGAACAGCAAGAACTACTGAGGGGCAAACCAGCAGCAGAATCAACCACCAGCAGCAAAAGCAAACGCAGTGGAAGCTGAAAACAGTGAGGCAGACGTAATTTTGGGGGGAGCTCACAAGGCAAACGTGGCAAGGGCATCGGGAGTGTGTTTGACGGCAAAGGGGTTTGGTGAAGCTGCGTGGTTCATGGATAGTGGCTGCACGCAACATATGACCAATCATCGTGAGTGGCTTACCGGATTGAGGGAGTCTAGTGTACCCTACGTTCTATTGGGCGATGAAGGGAAACTGAGTGTGAAGGGGGAAGGAGAGTTGCTGCTCCAGGGAGAGTACGGGGAGCTGAAACTGGAGAATGTGCTTTTAGTGGAGAAGCTGTCACTGAATCTGATCAGCCAAACTCAACTTGACAGCACGGGGTGCAAAACCTTCAGCGACAAGGGGAAGCTGTGGGTTTTCAATGAGGATTGGAAGGTGGTTGCAGAAGGGAACAGGAATCAGGGGTTGTATGAAATGAAGCTGAGAAAGAAGGGGCTGGAGGATGAGAATGCCACCTACCTGCCATCACTCGAAGGGGACCTAGCTAGGGAGGAGTTGAAGGCTCGGCTTGGTGGCTTACCAGTGAAGGAGCTGCAGCAGGAAGCTTCAGCCATGGTGGTTGGGATGGAGAAGGTGGAATTGGAGACCTTGCACAGGCGCATGGGGCATGCAAGCATGGATAGGGTCAATGAGTTGGTAAAAAAGGGCATGGTAAAAGGTGTGGCACTGAAGGAGGGGGCTGGAAGCAAGGGAAAATGCAGCAAGTGTGTTGAAGGTAAAATCACAAAGTCCCCTCACCCCCACCACCAGGTACATGAACCTTATGGCACCTTGGACATCGTAGCAGCCGATGTGTGTGGGCCTATGAGGGTGGCGTCACGTCACGGCAGCCGCTACTTCGTTACCTTCACTGATTTGGGAACAAGGCACACATGGGTGACGGAGCTGAAAGATAAGGCAGAAGTGTTTCCTAGCTTCGTGACTTGGATGGCGGAAGCGGAATGGCAAAGTGGGAAGGTGTTGAAAGTTTTGAGGACAGATAATGGTGGGGAGTTTACAGGGGACCTGTTCAACAAGTTTTTACAGAGTAAGGGCATCCGACGGCAGCTGACTGTACCCTACACTCCACAGCATAATAGCATAGCGGAGCGGGTGAACCGTTCTCTACTGGATAGTGTGAGGAGCATGTTGGCAGATAGTGGGCTGCCACTGAAGTTCTGGGGTGATGCATTGGCAATGGCGTGCTGGTCCAAGAACCGCCTACCTACCAAGGGACTTCGGGCATATATGACTCCCCACGAGGCCTTCTATGGCAGGAAGCCAAATCTGGGGTTTGCCCGGGTGTGGGGGAGTATGGTGCAATACAGAGAGCCAGCCGGTCCAGATCATAAGTTGCTGCCCAAGGCTCATTGGGGGATTAACCTCAGTACCTGCCCAGTGAGCAAGGGGTGGGTGATCAAGGATGTAATTTCAGGAAAAGTCACGATCACCCGGGATGTTGTCTTCTACGAGGAGGTGAACTACCTGCAGTGGAAGGGAGTAGAGAAAGAGATTGCAGCAGCAGGGACAACAACTGCACCGGACAAGGTGGAGGATCTTTTGGAGGAAAAGGAGAGTGAGGGAGTTGGGTATGAAGGAGAAGAGGAACTCGAAGATGTGGAATGGGCAGATTCAGTTGATTGGGTGTGGGAGAAGGCACCAACCAGTGAAGCGGATGAAACCAATGGAGTGGAGATAGCAGGGGAGCAGCCAAGCAGTGAAGTAGCCGAGGGTGGCAATGAAGAGGTGGTTGGAGAAGGAGATGAAGAATCAGCAGCTGAAGGAGATAGTGATCCATGGAAGCTTCTAAACAGTGATGACAGCAATGTCAAGATGAGGGAGATAGAGGAATTACTTCAGGAGGGCGCCATCATGATTGGAAGGGAAGTGAAGAATGGAGAAGGGAAAGCACTGGCGGATTCCAGTGAGGATGAGGCTGAATCACCTGCAGAGGAGTTGGGGAAAGGAAAGAGGGTGAAGAAACCAAACCCTCGGTATGCGCAACTGCTCATGACGTGTTGGAAGGACATCCACACCCACCTCCTACTCTCTGCCACAGCTACTGACCTAGTCTCCAATGAAGGAAAAGTGACACACAACCTGCCCAAAGAACCAGTGAGCATCGAGGAGGCGCTAGAGGGTCCAGAAAGGGAGCAGTGGAAAGCAGCAATTGAGGAGGAGTTGAACACATTGGCTGAAAGGGGCACATGGGAGCTAGTACCTATGCCGGAAGGGAGGAAAGCCGTGGGAGTGAAGTGGATTTTTAAAATCAAGACCGGTGATATGGGGCAGCTGGAAAGGTTCAAAGCAAGGCTTGTAGCCAAGGGCTACACTCAAGTGGAGGGGAAAGACTACCAACAAAATGAGATCTACGCTCCAGTGAGCAAGTTGGCAACGGCGCGGGTTTTTCTCAAGGTGGTAGCAGCAAGAAAATACTTCATGGTGCAGCTGGATATTAAAAACGCGTTTTTAAATGGGGTGTTGAAGGAGGACATCTACCTCGAGCAACCACCAGGGCATGACGACAGCTCGGGCAGAAAATGCAAGCTCAACAAGGCATTATATGGGCTGAAACAGAGTCCTAGGGAGTGGTATATGGCGATGGATGAGCGGCTACTGCAAGGGGGATTTCAGAAAAGCGAGTGTGATAGGGCATTCTACTAGAAGGGAGAAGGGAAAGAGAAGGTGTTCTTGGTGCTATACGTGGACGACATCTTGGTGGCAGGGGCGTTAGAGGAGGAGGTAGAGAAGGTGTGTGCTCATCTTGCGGAAATTTTTCAAGTGAAGCAGATTCCGAGGATCACACTCTTTCTCGGCATGAACCTGGAGCGACGTAAGGAGGAGAGGAAAATGTTCCTATACCAGCAGAAATATTGCAGCAGGGTGCAGCAGAGGTTTGGCAATGACTACACGAAGGCAATTTCGACACCATTGAGTGGGGTAGCTGAAAGCAACAGTGAAAGGGAGGAGGATGTCAACCAATGGGGCTGCAAAGAGAGAGCTCTGCAAGTATATCAGTCCATGGTGGGGTCTATCATGTATCCGGTCTCATGCACGCGCGTCGACATGGCATACGCAGCTAGCTATCTTGGGCAACAAGTGCAGCAGCAAGGGGAGAGAAAATGGAGAGAGGTGAGGAGGACTATCGACTACCTACTGCAACATGAAGATGAGGGGCTGTCATTTGAAGGAGGTGAGGAAACCCTGGAGTTAGTGGGATATGCGGATGCTTCACATGCATCCGATAAGAAAACAAGGAAGGGAGCATATGGTTACGTATTTTTGCTCAGCGGGACAGCAATCATGTGGCAAGCGAAAAGGTTGGCTGACATAGCGCTCTCTGGTGCGGAAGCGGAGTACATGGCTCTGTTTTTCGCGTGCCAAGAGGGGGTTTGGCTGAGAAGGCTACTCAAGGAGATGGAAATCAAGGTGGGAGGGCCAACGGTGATACGCACGGATAGCAAATCTGCCATTGACTTGGCTCACAACGACAATTGGCACGGGAGGACCAAGCATATGGATGTGAAGTATCATTGGGTGCGTTCAAAGGTGAGTAGCAAGGAGTTCAAGTTTGAATTCGTACGTACGGAGGCACAAGCAGCAGATTTTCTGACTAAGGTGTTACCAAGGGCTAATTTTGAGCGTTGCAAGAGAGAGGTTGGGATACGTACCTTGGCTGAATTGCAGGGGAGTGTGGAGCAAACAGAGCTGGTTCAAGGTGAAATGTGCGTAAGCTGGTTAGCAAACCACATAGGAGACTGTTGACGGGGGTAAGCTAACCACGACCTAGCACAACCTGGAGTGACCTACATCGACCTAAGAAAAACCTACTTTGACGAGCTGAGACTATGGGGAAGCGAGGACCTAAGAAGAAGAGAGACTACCTATGTTGGGACGGTGGAAGGAGAAACACGGTAGCAGCGCGACCTGCAGTGGGAAACGAAGAGAAGGAGAGGAAGCGTGCTGAAATGGAGAAGAACATGGCTGAAATGTCGTGCTTTCAAGTGACGTGAAGAGAAGTCACGCCGGGTCAAAGGCGCGTCCAAGGAAGTCTGAATTTGGAACTCGAGGCGCGTCCGGTTCATGGTTGGATTTGGAAATTGAGACGAGTACAACTCAGCTCGAAATTAGGCGCGGCAAAGGCGAAATCAGAAATCCTTTTGCTTATAACTTCCTTTGTGTTTTCTGTTTTTGTATGCCTTCTTCAATGAAATTACTTCAACTTTCTGCCTTAGTTTTCCATCAAATTCCTTCACACAGTTGAAGCCAGAGGTTACTATGCATACTACTAAGACTCTAAATAGTTTTCATAGTCTAGACTTAAGGCTGCGCACGTTCAAGACATTCCCTTCTCTGCTTTCCCCCTATCCCCTTCCCTGCTTCCCCCCATACCCTTCTCTGCTTCCCCCCCATCCCCTTCCCTGCTTTCCCCCATCCCCTTCTCTGCTTCCCCCCATACTCTTCTCTGCTTCCCCCCATCCCCTTATCTGATTTCCCCCATCCCCTTCCCTGCTTCCCCCCATCCCCTTCCCTGCTTTCCCCCATCCCCTTCTCTGCTTCCTCCATCCCCTTCTCTGCTTTCCCCCATCCCCTTCTCTGCTTCCCCCCATCGCCTTCCCTGCTTCCCCCCTCCCCTTTTCTGCTTCCTCCCATCCCCTTCCGTGCTTCCCCCCATCCCCTTCCCTGCTTCCACCATCCCCTTCTCTGCTTTCCCCCATCCCCTTCCCTCCTTCCCCCCATCCTCTTCTCTGCTTCCCCCCATACCCTTCTCTGCTTTCCCCCATCCCCTTCCCTGCTACCCCCCATCCCCTTCCGTGCTTCCCCCCATCCCCTTCCCTGCTTCCCCCCATCCCCTTCTCTGCTTCCCCCCATCCTCTTCCCTGCTTCCCCCCAACCCCTTCCCTGCTTCCCCTCATCCCCTTCCCTGCTTCCCCCCATCCCCTCCACTGCTTCCCCCCATCCACTTCTCTGCTTTCCCCCATCCCCTTCTCTGCTTCCCCCCATCCCCTTCTCTTCTTTCCCCCATCCCCTTCCCTGCTTACCCCCATCCCCTTTCCAGCTTCCCCCCATCCCCTTCCCTGCTTCCCGCCATCCCCTTCCCTGCTTCCCCCCGTCCCCTTCCCTGCTTCCCCCCATCCCCTTCTCTGCTTCCCCCCATCCCCTTCCCTGCTTCCCCCCATCCCCTTTCCTGCTTCCCCCCATCCCCTTCCCTGCTTCCCGCCATCCCCTTCCCTGCTTCCCCCCATCCCCTTCCCTGCTTCCCCCAATCCCCTTCTCTGCTTCCCCCCATCCCCTTCCCTGCTACCCCCCATCCCCTTCCGTGCTTCCCCCCATCCCCTTCCCTGCTTCCCCCCATCCCCTTCTCTGCTTCCCCCCATCCCCTTCCCTGCTTCCCCCCAACCGCTTCCCTGCTTCCCCTCATCCCCTTCCCTGCTTCCCCCCATCCCCTCCACTGCTTCCCCCCATCCACTTCTCTGCTTTCCCCCATCCCCTTCTCTGCTTCCCCCCATCCCCTTCTCTTCTTTCCCCCATCCCCTTCCCTGCTTACCCCCATCCCCTTTCCAGCTTCCCCCCATCCCCTTCCCTGCTTCCCGCCATCCCCTTCCCTGCTTCCCCCCATCCCCTTCCCTGCTTCCCCCCATCCCCTTCTCTGCTTCCCCCCATACCCTTCCCTGCTTCCCCCCATCCCCTTCTCTGCTTCCCCCCATCCCCTTACCTGCTTCCCCCCATCCCCTTCCCTGCTTCCCCCCATCTCCTTCCCTGCTTTCCCCCATCCTCTTCCCTGCTTCCCCCCATCCCCTTCCCTGCTTCCCCCCATCCCCTTCCCTGCTTCCCCCCATCCCCTTCTCTGCTTCCTCCCATCCCCTTCCCTGCTTTCCCCCATCCCCTTCCCTGCTTCCCCCCATCCCCTTCCCTGCTTCCCCCCATCCCCTTAACTGCTTCCCCGCATCCCCTTCTCTGCATTCCCCCATCCCCTTCTCTGCTTCCCCCCATCCCCTTCTCTTCTTTCCCCCATCCCCTTCCCTGCTTCCCCCCATCCCCTTCCCTGCTTCCCCCCATCCCTCTCCCTGCTTCCCCCCATCCCCTTCTCTGCTTTCCCCCATCCCCTTCTCTGCTTCCCCACATCTCATTCCCTGCTTCCCCCCATCCCCTTCTCTGCTTCCCCCCATTCCCTTCTCTGCTTCCCCCGATCCCCTTCCCTGCTTTCCCCCATCCCCTTCCCTGCTTCCCCCCATCCCCTTCTCTGCTTCCCCCCATCCCCTTCCCTGCTTCCCCCCTCCCCTTTTCTGCTTCCTCCCATCCCCTTCCGTGCTTCCCCCCATCCCCTTCCCTGCTTCCCCTCATCCCCTTCCCTGCTTCCCCCCATCCCCTTCACTGCTTCCCCCCATCCCCTTCTCTGCTTTCCCCCATCCCCTTCTCTGCTTCCCCCCATCCCTTTCTCTTCTTTCCCCCATCCCCTTCCCTGCTTCCCCCCATCCCCTTTCCTGCTTCCCCCCATCCCCTTCCCTGCTTCCCGCCATCCCCTTCCCTGCTTCCCCCCATCCCCTTCCCTGCTTCCCCCCATCCCCTTCTCTGCTTCCCCCCATCCCCTTCCCTGCTTCCCCCCATCCCCTTCCCTGCTTCCCCCCATACCCTTCCCTGCTTCCCCCCATCCCCTTCTCTGCTTCCCCCCATCCCCTTCCCTGCTTCCCCCCATCCCCTTTCCTGCTTCCCCCCATCCCCTTCCCTGCTTCCCGCCATCCCCTTCCCTGCTTCCCCCCATCCCCTTCCCTGCTTCCCCCCATCCCCTTCTCTGCTTCCCCCCATCCCCTTCCCTGCTTCCCCCCATCCCCTTCCCTGCTTCCCCCCATACCCTTCTCTGCTTCCCCCCATCCCCTTCTCTGCTTCCCCCCATCCCCTTCCCTGCTTCCCCCCATCTCCTTCCATGCTTTCCGCCATCCTCTTCCCTGCTTCCCCCCATCCCCTTCCCTGCTTCCCCCCATCCCCTTCCCTGCTTCCCCCCATCCCCTTCCCTGCTTCCCCCCATCCCCTTCTCTGCTTCCTCCCATCCCCTTCTCTGCTTCCCCCCATCCCCTTCCCTGCTTCCCCCCATCCCCTTCCCTGCTTCCCACCATTCCCTTCACTGCTTCCCCCCATCCCCTTCCCTGCTTTCCCCCATCCCCTTCTCTGCTTCCCCCCATCCTCTTCTCTGCTTCCCCACATCCCATTCCCTGCTTCCCCCCATCCCCTTCCCTGCTTCCCCCCATCCCCTTCTCTGCTTCCTCCCATCCCCTTCCCTGCTTCCCCCCATCCCCTTCCCTGCTTCCCCCCATCCACTTCCCTGGTTCCCCCCATCCCCTTCTCTTCTTTCCCCCATCCCCTTCCCTGCTTCCTCCCATCCCCTTCCCTGCTTCCCCCCATCCCTTTCCCTGCTTCCCCCCATCCCCTTCTCTGCTTTCCCCCATCACCTTCACTGCTTCCCCCCATCCCCTTCTCTTCTTTCCCCCATCCCCTTCACTGCTTCCCCCCATCCCCTTCCCTGCTTCCCCCCATCCCCTTCCCTGCTTCCCCCTATCCCCTTCTCTGCTTCCCCCCCATCCCCTTCCCTGCTTTTCCCCATCCCCTTCTCTGCTTCCCCCCAAACTCTTCTCTGCTTCCCCCCATCCCCTTCTCTGCTTTCCCCCATCCCCTTCCCTGCTTCCCCCCATCCCCTTCCCTGCTTTCCCCCATCCCCTTCCCTGCTTCCCCCATCCCCTTCCCTGCTTCCCCCCATCCCCTTCTTTGCTACAACAGACCTCAACACAGCTAGATTCAGCTAGTACCCTGCCACACAAGAAGATGCAACAAGCCAGACACACGAGCTGAAACAGGTCAGTGGTCATTCCTAGCCCTACACCTCCTCCCTTCTAATAGGTATCATGAAGTTCCACAATCAGATCAGCTACACACTAACGATGAAATGGAAGCGTGAGCGAGCAGCTCGACTGTCCTGGTCCGCATCTCTCTTAACACTCTGGCAGTCACACCCACTTCCAAAACCCGCCACTGCCTGTTTTCTTGGGCTCTACCTGCCTTTCCGTTGCTCCACTTGCAAAAGGTAGGAGCCAGATTGGGTGACTTCTAGGAGAACCCAACCTGGGAGATAGCGAGATAACGCACAGTGAAGTGCTGCAGAGACAGCAGCCAACACGATCTGCAGCTGATGAGGGCGTGTTGGCTGCACAAGCAACAGCAACAGCAGGAAACAGAAAACCGCAGCCAACAGAAAACGATGACCAGGACATTCGAGCTGCTCACCTGCGCCTCACTCTCTCAGGAAACATACCCTCGCGCCTCTCTCAGCTCCTCCAAACCTGTATCCTTCATTATATAAGGCATGGAGATATTGGTGAGCTTATTCCCCTGCTGGTGCAAGATGCATGCCTCCCCCCCCGAATTAACCTGTCGCACCAGCGCCTGCTCCCCTGTACCCAGAATCGTGAAGTTGTCCCAGTTGAGACCCCCCAGGTGCATGAACAGCGAGCTGTAGTGGTCCAGCTTCATGAACGGCGCCGCCATCACCGCCGCCGCGCCCCTGTGCCCGGCGCGCCGCGCTTCGTCCATGACGCGCTGCTTAGGCTTGGCGGGCAGGCGGTGGAACGGCGACATGGCGGAGTCGAACTGCACCGTGCGGTTGTTCCGCCACGCCGCTCTGCTCGCCGACTCCGCCGCCTCCGCCTGCGCGCGCACCGCATCCGCCACGTCGCTCGGCGATTCCCACGCGGCGCGCACGGCGGAGGGGTCGGGGTTGGGCGCGCGCGGCATGTCGCGGAAGAGGTACTGCTGCGCGAGGAACGCGAGAATGAACCCGCGCTGGTCCTGCATGCAGTCGCGCACGTAGATCAGATCGATGATCTCCGCCACCGCCCACGCGTACCCGCCATAAGCTCCCGCATTAAGAAACCGATTCACAGACGAATCTCTTTTATGAGGAAAGTACGGCTCTAGCTTCCTCCAATCCGGCCAGCAGAATATCTCCGCGCCGAAAACTACGGGCGCGTTGAGCGCGAAGAAGGCGTCGAGGAAGTTTTGCGGGCGGCATCTGGGGTGCGGCATGAGAAAGACGTCGTCGGCGTCGGTGGTGATCACGACGCGATCACGCGGCAGCGCCGCGAGGAAGTCGCGGATGGCGCGCAGGCGGCCGCCTTGGCCCGTCCACGGCTGGCGGCTTCCGATTATGGAGAAGCTGATCCCCGCCATGTGCGCGAAATCCGCGAGGCGCACCATGTTTACCCCGCATTCAGACGAGTAGATTACCCACTCCAGCAGGCATGATCCCGACTGGGAGAACCTGTTAGGAGGCAGCGGATGGTTATCCCACGGATCCGCCCTCGCGTCGTACGTCACCGTGCACCCGTCAGCAACCTGGTGCTCCGCCTCCCCGCGTTCACGCAAGTCCCGCCCGCGCGCCATCAATGCCTCCCCTTTGGCGACGGCGGCTTCTACCAGATCCGTGCACTTCTGCGAATGCAGATCCGACAGCATGTTTAGCTTGAATAGATGTCCCGCGCGCTGCGTCACGCACGAGTCCCACGTGTCGCGGAACTCCTCCGCCTGCGGCGAGAGGCCGGTGGCAAATATGGTCCAGTAGCAGATGTACGTAAGGACTACGAGCGCAAATGCAGCGCATCCGAGGACGAGGCGAAGGACGAACGCGATCTTGGAGGAGAAACACAGGCGGAAAGCATGAGAGATTAAACTTGGAGTAGGCGCCATGGGAGAGGACTGCACGACTGCTTGAAGACTACATTCCTGGAACCGTGTTATTAGTGAAGGTAAAAAGCGTGAGATTTGTTGGGGGTTCGATCAGCCCACTTCGCCCCTGCGGGGTTTCCCTCGCGGGATTTCAAAGGTTTACGCCCGGCTACAGTAAAACGCGGGCGAATGCGGGATCGCCGGGGCACGCGAGGGGCGCGAGCCAAGCCATCTACCCCGCCCGCCCGAAACGAGCCCCGCCAGCTCGGAGTGACACCAGGGCTGTCGATATCCCTGGGGGCAGAACTTGAGGCCCTTAGCTGCTGAAATTCTGACCCTGATTTTCAGCGAGGTGACCAATTTTTTGCCCTTAACGGTCGCGGGTGCAGGCCGAAGTGTAAACTTGAAATCCGGACTCCAAAGTGTTGTGTACTTAACCAACCTAAACAACGTCCTAGACAAGAAAATCACATACTTTTCATTACTAACTACTCCAGTCAACCTGTATGTCACAATTTCCAACTACAACTATAGCTGCACTGCCTACTGCATTTCTACTCATCTGCTGACTTCGACACTACACACACAAGATTGGATAGAAATCGAGTGAAACATCCTCCACCTGGCGCCCTATTGTGCAACTTTCATGGAAAGTGGGGATAAGGGGAGGGGGGTGTTTCGCAATATTTTGGGGGGGGAGTCTGCGGAATCGAAAGTAGAAATTAGATTCAGGGGATGGCCCAGATTGAGCACTTAACGCGTCCGGGGAAGGGCCAAACGATGCCCTTAACTGGCACGGGTGCCAGTCCAATCGAGCCCTTAAAATGGTCGAGCTGCGCTAAATATAACCCGGAATGTTCAGGGCATTAAGGGAAAATGCCCTTGAATCGACAGCCCTGAGTGACACGAGGTGGTCACCGCTCGAGCTGGCGTTGACCCCACATGCTCCCCCCTCGCCCCTTTTTCTCGTCGAGGAAATCCGTCTTTGTCGACGGAATGCGTCTCGACTCGAAGCAGAAAACGGAAAGCTGGAAACGCGCCATTGCGTGATTCCCTACAGAGCACAGCTCCCTTTCAAATAGAAACGTGTATAAACATGTAAACATAAACAGCAATAGGCAGACTCAATGAGAAGTTAAAGGGCCTGTAAAATTGGGCAACGGCTTAATAAGATAGAATAGCCCTAGTGATGTAATTTCATAGGGCTATTTTATGCTGCGATCAGGTTTTGATCGTCTCAGGAATGTTCGCATACTACTTATTGGTGGTGGTGGGCCATGGACCTCAATAGCAGAGTGAATGTAAAATGCTTGTGAGGAATTAAAATACGCGCAAAAAGGTATAAATAAGAGTACAAGAAGGAATATGAATCGACCTAGCTAGCCACGTACGCTAAGGCGTACCGTCATACCCCGGATATACCCCCATGGGGGGCACTAATAAAACGTGTTTTTTTTAGGGGGTGGTCTTATAATATAGTAATTTTATAAGCGCCGTGGCTTATACAATGACATATATGAAATCTAGTTGTTTTCAATTCAAAATGCTCATCTTGTCATTGCGATTTCAATCAAGTCAAGATCATAGTGGGTGTGAAGAATGATCTCGCGTAAGTTTGCAAACTGCCAACACACACAGTCAGAATGAGTCATTTCGCCCCATGACAGCTCATTCTGACTGGACGCGCAGTCAGTTGAGTTGCGCGAGGGTGGGGCAGTGAGTCGCGCGAGGGTGAAGGGTCGAAATTTTATCAACTGAGGATGCAAATAGTGTGTTTCGCTACAGAGATTCCAGTACGGTAACTTAAAAAGAAAACTAATACAAATGGTGGCTCTTATAATACGTAAGCCTTCAGGGGGTGCGCTTATAATCGAGCACCGGATATAAGCGCCACACGCCAATTAAAAGCGCCAGGCGCTTATCCGCGGGTGGCGCTTATATCCGGGGTATGACGGTACATTCCCTTATTAAAGCAAAATTCAACTGTGCAACTCCGATTGGTTACGAAACCGTTCGGACATAATCTGTGACAATTATGAGGAATGAAAAAGACTAAGGGAAAGTTGAGTACAAGCACAAACCCTAGAAAACTATACCCCATATGTGCTACCCCATGTCAGATTTATACGACATAGCTACTGTAGGCTATAGTGGGGTAGCACATATGGGGTACAGATTTCTACGGTTTGTACTTGTACCCAACTTTCACTTAGTCATTTTCATTCCTCGTTCCTTCTCATGGTTTCACAGCAGGTTCCCTAGTGGGAACGCTTTCTAGGGCACACCTCGAATTTTTTTTTTCCTGCCCGGAGAGCGCTTCGCTCCTGCCCGAGTCGCGCCCCGCGTGCCCTCCCTAGCGTCGCGCCGCCCTTAGCGGCCTCTCTCTGTGAAAGTTTAGAAGGAAAGAAGAGGGCTGCACTAGCAAGAATGGGGATACAAATAGCAAACCCTAGAAGGGTTGTACTCGCTATAGAGCACCCCATTACATGCTAGAGCATAAGATAACATTCTGACACACCCCCATAGCCAAAGTGGGGTGTAATCAGCAGAGCAAGCAAAGCAGTACAAGCTCAGGGTGGATCACAATGTCACCACACATTCTGAGCACAAGTTCAAGAAGCAATAGTTTAAAGTTCACAATTATGAGCAAAGCTAGTGGTAGTCACAACGGGCAAGTGAGGAGGAGGAGAGAGAGTGAGAGGAGAGGAGATAGGAGGCGACAGCTGAAGCTGCAGACACACGGGCAACAGGAGGCACACTGGCACAGCGGCTACCGAATACTGGAGTAACTGGCCCCACGGCTAAAGTAGCGGCAGACGAGCAACGGACCCACGGGCGGCTGGCACAGCTGGCTACGACTGGGCTACCGGAGCAACTCCCCGAACTACAGGTGCTGCTGGCGACACGACGGCAACCTCCATTCAGCTTCCCAGAACTATCCCACTCCCCCTGACACACACCCGCTGCTACACCGCTAGCTCCACTCCCCCTTCACCCCCCTTAGTACCACTCTACCGGCTCCAACACGTCCACCCCCCCTCAGCGGCAGCTGTAGTACAGGGAGACGGAGGAGGAGGAGGAGCAGGGAACGGCACACAGTGAGGTCACCCCCATACCCCTCACCCCCAAACCCTAATTCAGGAGAATGGGGAGTAGGAGGGGTGGGGCGCCAGTAGAAGCACAGGGGGAACAGCGGGAGGGCAGGGGCAACGAGGAAGGGGCCCACCACGGGCCTGGTACAGACGCCCGAGCCGCGCGCAGGCGGCCCGAGCCGCGCGCGGGCCTGGCGCCGTCCGTACGGGCCGCGCGCGGGCCTGGCGCCGCCCGTACGGGCGGCGCGCGGGCCTGGCGCAGCCCGTACGGGCCGCGCGCTGCCTGTACGGGCCGCGCGCAGGCCACGACGGGCGACGGGGGGCGACGCGCAGGTCCCCGTCGCCCGTCGCAGCGCCTCCACAGGGCCACGCGCCGAACGACGGGGCAGAAGCCCACCGCGCGCCTCGGGGCGCACAGCGGGCAGAGAACCGCCGCGCGCCTCGGGGCGCACAGCGGGCAGAAAACCGCCGCGCGCCTCGGGGCGCACGGCGGGAAGAAAAACTGCCGCACGCCACGGGGCGTGCGGCACAGAGAGTAGTAGTGGTTGCAGCGGAAGCAACGAGGTGGTAAGCCCACCCACAGGATCGATCCAAGGGGATCGACCTGCTCTGATAGCATGTGAAAGTTTAGAAGGAAAGAAGAAGGCTGCACTAGCAAGAATGGGGATACAAATAGCAAACCCTAGAAGGGTTGTACTCGCTATAGAGCACCCCACTACAAGCTAGAGCATAAGATAACATTCTGACACTCTCACGGACCCTTGAGCCGCTCTCACGGCCCCGTGCACCGCCCTTGCGGCCCCGCGCACCGCCCTTACGGCCCCGCGCACCGCCCTTTCGGCCCCTCGCGCCGCCCGCGCCGCCCTAGCGGCCCCTCACGCTGCCCGTCGGCTCCGCGCGCCGCCCTTGCGGCCCCTCGTGCCGCCCGTCGGCCCACCGTGCGCCGCCCTTGCGGCCCCTTGCGCGGCCCTAGCGGCCCCGTCGCCTACTCCTGCGGACCCGGCGCCGCCCTTCCCGGCCCTGGCGCCACCTCGGCTGGCCCCGTTGCCTACCCCTGCGGCCCCGGCGCCGCCCTTTCCGGCCCCGCCGCCGCCTCTGCTGGCCCCGTCGCCTACCCCTGCGGCCCCGGCGCCGCCCTTCCCGGCCCCGGCGCCGCCTATGCTGGCCCCGTAGCCTACCCTGCGGCCCCGGCGCTGCCCTTCCCGGCCCCGACGCCGCCTCACCCGGCCCGCCGCCGCTCCACCCGGCCCCGCCGCTCCACCTGGCCCCGTCGCCGCTCCAAGCCGCCCCGCCGGCGTCCCCACGCGGCCCCGCCGTCACCACCGAGCCCCCGGCGCCGCCGAGCTGCTGCCGAGCCGCCCGAGCCACCCGAGCCGCCCGAGCCGCCGCGCCACCTGAGCCGCCTGAGCCGCCCGAGCCGCCGGTTCGCCGAGCTGTCGAGCCGCCGTACCGCCGAGCCGCCCGAGCCGCTAGTGTCGCCGCGTCACCGAGCCGCCCGCATCGACGAGCCGCAGTTGCTGCCAAGCCGCCGTACCGCCCAAGCCGCCCACACCGCTGAGCCGCCCGAGCCGCCCTGTCCGGTTAGAGCAGCGCCTCTGTCACTGCACTGCCCTTACCTTACTGTTCGCGCTGCTAGTCTACTGGTGTCACGGCTACCCCTAGTGTCCTCGCTTTTGATGCTGAGGGTCGGGCCATTGAGTTTGATGTCTGGATAGATGACCTACAACTTCTCCTACAGTGCGATAAGGCAGACGGTCTCTCCCTCTTTGACCTCACTCTGGTGCCTCTCCTGCCCCTGCTGCTGATGCTGACGCCACTGTTCGCTCACAGTGGGCCACACGCGATGCTGCTGCACGTCTTGCTGTGCGTTGCCACCTGCCTACCTCTGAGTGTGCGCACTTTAGCCAGTACAAGAGTGCACAGACCTTG